TATTTCTAAACAATTGTGAATTGGATTTATTTAGCCCTAAAATTGCTTTAGCTCTTAGTAACCGTACATGAACAATGTTCTTTCCAGGATCATATTTCTTTTTCATTAAAGAATATTATCTAAAATGTTCAAAAACTAAATATACATAAACATATAAAAAATAAGTATTTTTTTGCAAGAGTAGGAACATGATTTTTTTAAATTTCATCTGCCCAATAAATGTCACTCTTGTCTTTGAGATAACCATGCAGAGATTGTGGCAGGGTTCTTTATTGAAAAGCAAAAGCAGATTTTTATTATGAGAAGCAGCAATTTAATAAATTTATTACCTTATTATGCGTAAACATTATCCTCAGTTCTGGTTTTATAATGCCATAGGCCATCAACAGCTTCTGAGCTTTTTTTATTTCTTCCTTACATTTCTTATCTGTAGAATAAAACTGTTTTCTTACAGGCAGATTCTTGAACAGCTTTTGAACTGTTACAGTTGTCCCTACCAAGAAGAGCAACGGAGAAGAAAAGCAATGAAAATTAACTTACAGAGACGCTCTTTCAATTCTATTAATCTATCCTTTTATTCCTTTAAACTGTGTGATAAGTACCTTTAATGACAGCATCTACAGACTTTGACCTTGGCTGCATCAATCAGTTCTGACAATAATTTGTCCTTTTAGCTCTTGAAATTGAGAAATATCTAAATAGTTGTAGTCAAGGTATATCAAAAACAGCCATGGTACTGCAGTGATTAGAATGCAGTATTGCACAAGCTAACTCTGCTCATTGTCAGGAGTTTGATCCTGACCAGCTCAAACCTTCCAAGGTCAGTAAAATGAGGACCCAGATTGGTGAGGGCAATGTGCTGACTCTGTAAAGCACTATGAAGCAACATACAAATCTAAGTGCTATTGCTAAAAGCTGTATTATATCAGCAAAGTTAAAAAACACAAGCAATAACAATGCAAATAAGCAGAGATTCTCAAATTTTGCAATCTACAAGTTATTAAAATGTCAAAGAAGACTGACCCTTTTCATCACTTTGATGCCATAAATTTTGAGATTTTTCCCTAACTAAAGTGAAACCCCTCAAGAAATGCAGTGGTTCTAGAATGTAAACAATACTTTAGAGCACTGAACACTAAGACAACTAAAAACAGTTTTTCCCCGAACATCATCACTTTGCTAAACAAATAATTCCCTCACCACTGTCAAACTATTCACCAAGGCTGCATTACTATTACTATTAGTCTTCTCATCGTTCCTATCCCTCCATCTCCTCCCACTTATGACTGCAGGACAGTAACTTTGTTGCTTGTATCCTTACGATTTTTATTGATATTGTTTTTTGATTGCTTATTTGTACCCTATGACTACCATTAAGTATTGTACCTTAGGATTCTTGATGAATGTATCTTTTCTTTTTATGTACATTGAGAACATATGCACCAAAGACAAATCCCTTTTGTGTCCAGTCACACTTGGCCAATAAAGAATTCTATTCTATTCTATTTTATTCTATTTTGAACTGTGTGGCATTTCTTGGTAATTAAAAGGTAGAAAATTTGATTCTACTTGTTTTATTCAGAGAACTGAAAACATAAGAAGAAATAGTCAGATATTATTTTAAGTATGGGTCATAAAAGCACGAATACTGAACAATCAGCCTTGAGATCTCTTCCAACTCTACAATTTTGATTCCTACTTAAAATAATTATTTTTTGCTGAAACGGTATAGGGTTTCCTTTTGTCTGAAATGGTATAGGATTTCCTGCTTAGGCAGGGGGTTGGACTAGAACACCTCCAAGGTCCCTTCCAACTCTGCTATTGTATTGTATTGTATTTTTGTTATCTGAGACTAAGTCACTGAAACAATCAGAACTTGCTTTCCTCTTTTACACAACTTCAAGGGCACACCTGGTCCTTTGCTGTAGTTTTCCTTCTGAAATTTTCATTGCAGAATCCCTCATGTCTAGAATTTTATATTTTATGAAGAGTTATACATATTGAATGTATATGAATACACTTCATAAGTAAAATCTCAATTGGGTGTGTGTTTTAATTTTTCATGTCTGACTCAACTAGTTATTTTGAAAAAATCACAATTTTAATTATAAGTTCAAATTTTAAAATGTTATCCAACTGTTCTATTATCTGAAGCAGAAAATTCATGTCCCTGAACTAATACTCTAAAGATAAGAGGGACTAAAAGCCATACCTGTTCCAAGATGAGATGGCTTCTGAGAAATTATATGACCACTTCCATCAAAATTGTACTGGGTGCTAAAATCATCAGCAGCTGTCCTTGTTGTAACAGAAACCTAACAATAAAGAATCTAATGTCAAGTAAACAATTAGGAAAAGATATATGTACATTCTATTACCTATGTAATTCACACAAACCATGATGAAGATAATTATTATTTATTAAACTTGTACGCTCCTAAATCTCATCAACTCTTTGCAGCTTACAATATCATGATAATCAACAATGATTGTTCCTAGAAATGTAAAAATTATTCAGAGAATTCTTGACAGATACATCTTCTGCACATGTAAATAACTTGGAAAGGACTTTGACACAGCGTCTCTTGATCTTTAGGAGAAAATAATACTTTAATGTTTCAAGTCAAGTAATCCTCAAATTCCACACAAGATCTGATTGTTTTATGAGTCTTCTAGGAGCAGAAGCAATATGCTTCTAAATACCAACTTATAGAGAGCCAGCAATTATTATTTATCTTATAAGAAATATAGTTTTCTGCCTCTGAATAAAGATCTTTTAACATTCCTCTTCCATTTAGAACTGTACTGTACTTCAGTTTATATATAAATGTATTGCGAGATGGTTGTAAATATAAAAAGCATTTTTATGTTTGCCTTGTCATACTTAGATATACAATTCCATTTTTGTGCACTGTATTGTGTTTTGTTCATCTCAAATTTGAGAATGCCTTTGAAAATGAAGGGAATTGCAACAATGAAAACTACTCTGAAAATCTGACATACAAAAGAGCATTCACAGCCTGTCCAAATAGACCTAAAATACACCTTTAAAAAGTGTGTATTTTCAAAAAAAAAGCATGGTTGGATACTTGAGTACATGGCTTAGCTACAGCCTCTGTATTTATTTCAAAAGCCAACTTTCTATGTTGTGTTTAGCTTGCTAAGCATTTGCTGTTTATTAGACTCTGCTGATGCCAATCCATCCTATTGTGTGTGGAATTTTAAGAGTGGAGGGAGTAATAAAAAAAATTATGTTGATCTCATTTGGTTTGTTAAAACATTGGCACAAATGCACTTTGCCTATGATCATATTCCCTGTTGATGCACTTCATGATGCAGTTGCTATTTACCAATATTATTATTCTGGCCTCTTTGTGTGTTGATTTGTTTGCCGTTTGCTGTTGACTTTTATCTCTTTTTGTCCCACTGCCCCTTCAAATACTGTACTTTTTCTTTTTGACTTAACAAAGATTGTTCCTTTCTGTTCTTTGCTGAATTTTTTAAAAATGAAAATGCAGGTAGGGCATAATTAGTCTGAACCGAGCTGCTATTTTCTTATTTCACTAAGGTTCAGCAAGACTCATGCAGTAGCTATGTGCAAACTGCTTTTGTTTTGGCAAGCATTTATCAAAGTACCCCCCCTCCCCCCGAAAAACATGTTGAGTTGTAGAAAAAATGGATGAGAAAAAAGGAAGGAAGGAAGGAAGGAAGGAAGGAAGGAAGGAAGGAAGGAAGGAAGGGAGGAAGGAAGGAAGGAAGGAAGGAAAGTCCAGTATATTGTGTGTATTGGGATTTTGTTCCTCCTTGAATTTCAGATAGCCTACGCTGAAAATAACTGAAAAAATATGGGAGATAAGCTGTGTGTTTTTTATTCATATTTTCTCAATTAGCATCTGATTACTGCAGTCAGAATTCAGCAGTGCCTTCTTGTCAGGATTTCTGCTTAACCACTGGGCAAACCCTGTATCTTCTTCATAAATTCACATCTCCTCCCCCCCCCCCCAAAAAAAAAGTTTAGGAGAATGGCATCAATAACTGGAATTAAAACAGCTGAGATTGAAATGTGTATGCTCAAGGTTCCTCCTTTTCATACATGTGTCGACTTTGAGGGCAGGGCTGTGACTATTATCTTGTCATTTTTGAACAGCCTCTACAGACACCGTACTTAGAAAGAAGTGGGACTGTACATGCAAACCCCAGCAGATACATTCTCCCAATAGACTATCTGTATTTTGGATACCTTAAAATCAAATGGGTTAATGTTTCATTTTTCAGAACTATAGCATCTGGGTTACAAAACAGACACAAAAGCCGATAACTATATTAGCCTTTTACCTGTGATATGCTACAAATGGAGCCCAGAGCTTCACCACGAAAACCATACGTGCTCAAACTTTCAAGGTCCTCAGAAGAACTTATTTTTGATGTGTAGTGCTTCATTGCCATCACGGGAACATCAATTGCCTTAATCCCATCACCATTATCTCGTACCTCAATCTTTTCAAAACCATAGTTCTCCTACATAAAGAAAACATTTATTAGTTTCAAGCGACAGAGAACATTTTATGGAGTTGTTTGATTCCAAGAACACCTTTACAGAAAGTGCAATTACCAATTAATAAGGGTCAATTCGGTTTTCTGAATCTGAAACTCTTATCATCAATATTTATTAATCAAGTAATTTATGTCAATTTTCCAACATAGGCAACTTTGGAATATCAGAGAGTCAATGGCTTGAACCCGCACCATCTTAAGATAGAAAAACCCTGCAGGTAAAATATGTGGGATCATGCTCTAATCTTTATAAAATAGTGGACAGAATTCTTGAGGAATGGCGTATTCAATAACTTGTTTGAAGTTATTTAAGAAAACGATACAGAATTACTGAATTGGCATAGTACAACTGCTTAATTCTAGAATAATGCTGCATTTGGATCCAAAGTGGGCGAAGGTAAGCATGGACACCAGGGGTGGGTTTCTCGCCCCGTTCCAACCGGTTCGGTTGGAACGAGGCCGGCGGCGTCCTCG